GCGCGGGCAGCACTCGCGCAGGCGCAGGGTGATGCGGACACGGCGAGAAGGCTCAAGAATGCAGCGAGTCGCGCTTGGCATGCGCGAAGGAGGCTAAGTCATTGTGCCGGAGAGGCGCGATACGCGGATGGGCAAGCGCACGTGGAAGATGACGCGCTCGATATTATCGGGGCCGAGCGTGAGGCTGAACGCGCAGGCGACGGGGTGCACGCGCGAACTTGCCTAGGCGCGCGAGGATTAGGCGAGCTGCTGGACGCGTGCGCAAGAATGGAAGTTGAAGCCCTAGTCCTTGGGCAATTAGGCAACGCGGACGCGCACAATGGCGGCTTGAGTTGCAAGCAAGAGATATTCTAGATATTTATTTCCTTGTTTTCTAGTTTGTTTAGAACACCTAATATTTTATTGTTTTATTAGAGTTATAGTTATATTAGGACTAGATCTAGTTGATGCCTATATAAAGGCCTTTCCTCTTGTTAATTATATCATTTATTCTTCTTAATACAAAAACCGAACTTTGTTCAAACTCTTTGCTCTAGTTTTCTTCTTGAATTCTTTTGCAACTATAATCGTTAGAAAGGCTGCGAGTGTGCGACTTCCTAACACCTATCGAACGATTTAAGGCGCGGAAGCGGCTTGTCAGCAATCGAGACACACGGTCTTCATCATTGGTACTTTCATTGAGAGGGTCGATCGTGTGTCTTTCCTTTCTCATTCTCTTCGAATCTTTCTTTTTTAATTTTCGTTCGTTCAAAAAAAAAAATTCAAAATTAGTCCGGGAAGTCGAGAACGTAGGCAAGCCAGAAAAGATATGGCCAATCGTGAGTTGAAAGAAAAGGTTGAAGGATTGGAAGGTCAATTCAAGGCCATGAACGAGAGCATGGAGGATCGGTTTGGATCGCTCGACGAAGGACAGGTCAGCACCAACGCTGTCGTGGCTCGCCTCGAGCAGCGCCTGGAGGAGGTGTTGCGCGGGTTCCAACGACAGCAGCAGTAGGAGCCACCACGGGTGAACGCACGCGAGCGTCTAAGGCAACAGGAGCAGCAGCGGGCTGAGCACAACCCCGACGAGGAGGAAGAGTACGAGCAGCGGTCGCAGGCGTCGAACGTTCATGAGCGACCACGCGTTGAGAAGTCGAGGCTCGTGCTCTCAACGTTCACGGGAACCAATCCAGATGCTTGGCTGAACAGTGCAGTACAATTCTTCGACTTAAATGAGATGCCGCAACGTGACTGGGTTCGTTATGCCGTGTACTATTTAGATGGTGAGGCCAACGTGTGGTGGCAGTGGCTCACGCGCGTGTATCGCGGACGGCAACAACCAATCCGTTGGAAAGATTTTGAACGGGAGCTCTCTACGTGTCTCGGGAACTCATATTATCATAACCACGACGAGGCGCTTACTCGGATCCGGCAGACAGGGAGTGTACGTGACTACCAAAAAGAGTTCGAGAGGTTGGCGTGCCGGGTTCGCGGGTGGCCGGAAAGCGCGCTTGTTGGCGCGTTTGTTGGAGGGCTTAGGTATGATCTCGCGGCTGAAGTGCGATTGGAGAGGCAGGAGACCATGCATAAGGCCATGGAAGTTGCTAGGAGATGGGAGGATCACTTGGCCGCAACTCGAAGGGGATGGGCGGATTTTCGTGTCCCAGAGCCGCGGCATGTGTCGGCGACCGTAGGCGCACCTAGTGCGAACGCGAGGCCGCCGGGCACCTTTAGGCCACCGGCAACTGAGGTGAAGAGGTTGACGGAGGAGGAGATGGCACAGAGACGTGAGAAGGGACTGTGTTTTCGGTGCGAGGAAAAGTACACGCCAGGACTTCGATGCAAGCAGAATTACTTGATCGAGTTTGTGGACTCGGATGACGAGGAACCGGTGATCGAGGAAGAACGAGAGGTGGAGGTCGAGGTGCTCGATGATGAGGCCGAGATTGCTGTACACGCCATGGCGGGCACCAAGGGGCCGAGGACGATGTGTTTGCCGGCGTGGGTGAAGGATCAGCGAGTGACTGTGCTCGTGGACAATGGGTCGTCGCACAACTTCATTAATGCGACGCTATC